GTTAGAGTGGTACGCAGAGGGAGAGAGAGAAGCAGGCTCTCCACTGAGCAGGAAGCCTGATGCGGGGCTCAATCCCAGGACTCTGGGATCATGACCTGAGCCAAAGGCAGATGCTTAACCGACTGAGTCATGCAGGTGCCTGGCATTGGGACATTCTTTAGGCAGGGCTGACCTCTCTAGTAGGCAACAATCTCCATACATCTGGTGCACCTCACTTTTGATATAACTGAACATCCCCATGAGATATTTCATTTGTAACTCCTAGGTCAGAGAATATCAGTGGTTATGTGATCACGATCTATTATAACTGCTGTATCAAACCCATCTAAGTGACACCAGAGATTCACCAACCACCAGTCTCCTGAGCCCTAGGCTGCCTGCTGTAGACTAGATTAGTGCCATAGACTGAACGTCGGTGTCCCCTCCCCCAAAGTCCTGTGTTGGAAGATATTCCATCATGTGATGGTATTGGCAGGTGGAGACTCTCAGGTCATTTGCATGATTAGATCACAAGAACAGAGCTCTCATGAATGTGATTCATGCCCTTACAGAAGAGACTTCAGAGAGCTCCCTGGCCCCTTGCACCATGTGAGGACACAGTGAGCTGATGGCCATCCACGAACCAGAAAGTGGGCTCTCACCAGAACCAAATCTGCTAGCACCTTAATGTTGAACTTCTCAGCCCCCAGAACTGTGAGAAATAAATTCCTGTGTTTATAAGCCACCCATTCTGTGGCATTTTTTGTTATAGCAGCCAGAACAGTTTAAGATGGTTACCTGGCCCTCTTTAGGGCCCACACAGCACTCTGTCCATATCTCCACTCCAGCTCTAATGGGAGGTTCATTGAAGGCTTACTTCTCTGTCTTCTCCAGCCTTTGAGTTCTCTGAGGGAGAAGTTGATAATCCTTTCTCTAATAGGTACCTGGCATGCAACAGTTCACTATAGGTTTATGTAACAAATAAAAAACAACAGATGTCTTATCTCTACTCAACTTGAAGTTCTTCATGGTCAAGGATGTATGTATGATTCAGCTTTGCATTCCAGCACCAAGGGCAGGACCTGCTGTAGAGTAGATGCTGAACGGTGCTTTGAAAGAATTAATAAATTCATGATACAAAAGAGAATTTATCATTAAAGTCACATGGGGGAACATTGGCTCTTAATGAGGAGACACTGTTAGACATAGGTCTTTGAGGCTGAACAGCCCCATAAGCTGTGGTCAGCCACACAACACTGTCTAGTGTCATTTCCTTCTACAAGTTGTGTTGAATTATTATGGGAAGCAACTGTTCCCTCCACCTCCACCTGCCCACACACAATCTCACTCCTCAAAGGCAATGCACTGAACTTTTACTGTTCCACACTCCCTTCCCCCCACTCTTCATACTCAAGCCCCAGGTGGCCTTTTTTCAGTCTTTCATACCCTTCATGGCTCCTCCCCTAGACTTACCTTCTTTGGGGCTGGAGGGTTGGCTTGCAATATGTGGGAGTAGCCTGGGATCCAAGTGGCTCCCAAAGATTTCCCAAACCCCACTGTCAAAGCAGAGTGGTCTGGAAGTGGCATAGAGCTGCTGGACTTGGAGGGGATTAGGCAAGGGTAACAAGAAATGACTCCTCAATGGTGATCAACCAGGACCAAACAATGTTTCGGTAGAGGTCACAGCATCCATTGGACTTAATGGGAGGCAGCCCCCAAGGGACCGGGCAAACTCCACTCCCAGCTCAGCTCTCTCCACAGCCTCCTTCTCTCCATTCAGAAGGGATAGTTCACAATTTTTTTTCAAATAACAAGTAACTATAAAATAATATCTTAAAAAGTATATGGCATAAAAAAACAACACAGTGGGCATCCTCATAGTCATTCCCATCCCCTCATCCCCATGGGACTCTCTCCCAATTCCATGCCCTTCCTTCCACCTTACAGGAAACCACTTTCCAAAGGTTTGGTTTACGGTTCCTTTCTCTGTGTGTTTGTATGAACCAGACTATATTCTTTGCATTCCTAAGAATATTTTGTGTATGTCAGCGTATTTTTTTTTAATTTATTTATTTGACAGATAGAGATCACAAGTAGGCAGAAAGGCAGGCAGAGAGAGAGGAGGAAGCAGACTCCCTGCTGAGCAGAGAGCCTGATGCGGGGCTCGATCCCAGGACCCTGGGATCATGACCTGAGCCGAAGGCAGAGGCTTTAACCCACTGAGCCACCCAGGCACCCCAGCGTATTTTTTAAATTCTAGACAAATGGAATCACTTTGCATTTGTTTGTTAGAGATTGTTTAAATTGAATGGTGTAACTCTGATTCCTTCATATTCTCCTGCTGTAAAATATTCTTCTATGAGCACATACTTGGAAAAAAATCTACTCTTCTGTTTATTGGATAGGTTATTTCTGCTTTCTGCTAGCTGCTGTATCTTACCAAAAACACTTATTACTTATAAAAAAAAATGAAGTGGAAAAATGGACGCAACCCTAGCAAAGTAATCAAAATTCACATCGCTGATAAAGGCAGACATTGTGTTCCTTCCATGTGACAATATTGCTTCTGTGGTGTTCAAGTCAAAAGCACTTAGTATGTTTCTAATCCTGAGGAAACATCAGAGAAACACCAGTGAAAGACCTTTTATAAAATAACTGGCCTGTATTCTTTTTAAAAATAGACTTTATTTTTAGAGCAGTTTTCAATCTGCAGCAAGATGGAGTAGAAGGTACGGAGATTTTCCATATGCTGCCCAAACCCCCCTTGGTTCACAACCCTCTGGGGAGCTTCTTGAGTGAAATCTGACACTGAATGCAAAGGGAGGGGGCAGGGAGAGATGGAAGAAAGAAGCGGGCCTCTCCATTGGTGGGCAGCAGTTTTAACAGCAAAGGGAACTTACATACAAGGGCTTGTCTTAGGCAGCCTCATTGGATCTCCACACTTGCCTGCCATGTCTTAAGTTTATAAAGAGGTCTAACATGGGCTTAGTCAAGTATACTGTAGAGGTATTCTCAACACCAACCACATCACTATCTCAAAGTTGTGTCCTTGGAGTCTCTTCCGGGAGCAGAAGAGGCAAGACAAGGGAGTGAGTGAGTCACGTTCTGTGTTCAACTCACAGGTTAACAGGCAGTCACGTTTTTTGAGGACCTCCCCCAACACCCCTGCCACCGCATATGCACAGCCTTCCCCAATATCAAAATTCTGTACCAGAATGGCACATTTGTCACAATCAGTGAAGCTACATTAACACATCATCACCCAAAGTCTACAGCTTACATTAGGACTCACTCTTGGTGTTGTACATTGCATGAGTTTTGACAAATGTATGATAACACTCATCCACCATTATAGTTTCTCTACCCTAAAAGTCATCTGTGCTGTGCCTATTAATCCCTGTGTCTCCCCAGTGCCTGGCAATCACCGACCCTTTCAGCGCCCACCTTCATAGTTTTACCTTTTCCAGAAGATCATACAGTTGGCATCATAGAGTATGTAGCCTTTTCATATTGGCTTCTTTCACTTAGTAAAATGCATTTACGTTTCCTCTATGTCTGTTTATGGTAGGATAGCTAATTTCTTGTTAATGCTGAATAATGTTCCATTGTCTGGATGAATTATACAGTTTCTTTATCCATTCACTTACTGAAGGACATCTTGTTTGCTTCCAAGTCTTGGTGGTTATGAATAAAACTGCTGTCAACATTTCTGTGCAGGTCTTTGTGTGGACATAAATTTTGCACTCATTTCAATAGATACTAACAAGTGCAATTGATTGTTGGCTGGTGTGGAAAGAGTATGTTGCGTTTGGTAAGACTGTCAAACTGTCTTTCAGAGTGGCTGCACCATTTTGCATTCTCACTAGCAGTGAATAAGAGTTCCTCTTGCTCCACATCCTTGTCAGCATTTGGTGTTTTCAGTATTTTGGATTTTGGCCATTCTACTAGTTGTATAGTGGCTCGCATTGTTTTGAACTGTATTCTTGAAAAATGTCAATGGCATAATGAGAAAACCTGAAGAACAGAAAAGCTAAAAGATTAGAGACCACTACACTGAGGAGACAAATTGATACAATATATGACCCTGGACAGCATCCTGTCCAGAGGGGCGGAAAATGTACATAGAAGACATTATTAGGACAGTTGATAAAACTGGAATAGGGAATTTAGATTAAATTCTTCTATTAACATGAAATTTCCTGGATTTGATCATTGATCATTGTCTAGTTTTGTTTTTAGGACCTACAAACTGAAAGATTAAGGGTCACATGGGCTTAATATAAACAACCTCCTCGCAAATGATTCAGAAAAAAATATAAAGAAAGGAACTGGCATAATATTAGCTATTTGTGAATGTGGATCATGGATACATAGGAGTTGTACTATCCTTGTAACTTTTCTGCAAATTATTTGAAAATAAAAGTATAAAGAATTAGGAAAATAACAGCTCTGTTTTAACACTCCATCTGTATCTTTTGAGGCACACATACAAGTTTCTTGATCATATTCTGAAGGGTAAAATCGCAGACTCAAGGTGTGTGCATCTTCAACTCGATCAGCTAAGTAGCTTACAAAGTGCCACTGACATCCTTATTAATTCTATTTTTTTCCTCTCTCACTGAAATGTAAGGTCGTAGGCAGCGTTATCAAAGTGCAGGCCTTGGGCCCTCAGCAGCAGCCTCACCAGGGTGCCGGTTAGAAATGCAAATCCTCAGACCCTCACCTCAGACTTGCTGAGTCAAAAACTCCGAGAGCACCGCCTAGAAATCTGTGATTTCACGAGTCTTCAGTGATGAGAAAGTTTAAGCTGCGCTGTGATCCGTTAGCGCCGCGCCTGGCTTGCAGACCGCCAGCTCCAAACAAATGAACAGTGGAGCCCGGGAGCTCGGGCTAGACCGTGCAGAACCAGAGGGCAGCGCAGCACCACCTCGGCACCCTCCCGGAGCCGGGAGCTTCTCCCGGACCCCCAGCTGGGTGGGGACGGCCAGCAGGACGGGGCGGGCCGGAGGCTGGTATCCCCGCCTCCCAAGCCTGGGGCTCGCCGCGTAGCACAGTCCTCCGCCTTCCTTGCCTTCTCTTTCCCTTCCTTCCTTCCCTCCTTCCTTCCTTCCGCCGGGCGCGATGGAGCGGGGGAGCCGGGCGGCCGTGGCGCTGCTTGCGCTGCTGTGCGCGGGCTATGTGCCGCGCTGCGGGCGCGCCCAGTACGAGCGCTACAGCTTCCGCAGCTTCCCGCGGGACGAGCTGATGCCGCTCGAGTCGGCCTACCGGCACGCGCTGGACCAGTACAGCGGCGAGCACTGGGCGGAGAGCGTGGGCTACCTGGAGATCAGCCTGCGGCTGCACCGCCTGCTACGCGACAGCGAGGCCTTCTGCCACCGCAACTGCAGCGCGGTGCCCCAGCCCGAGCCCGCCGCCGGCCTCGCCCACTACCCCGAGCTGCGCCTCTTCGGGGGCCTGCTGCGCCGCGCGCACTGCCTCAAGCGCTGCAAGCAGGGCCTGCCAGCCTTCCGCCAGTCCCAGCCCAGCCGCGAAGTGCTGGCCGACTTCCAGCGCCGTGAGCCCTACAAGTTCCTGCAGTTCGCCTACTTCAAGGCAAGTCTGGCCGTCCGGCCCCGCCCCCAGGCCCAGGCCCGGTCCGGCCCCGCCCCCAGGCCCGGCCCCGCCCCTCCGCCTGGGGTGGCCTCGCACCGCCTCCCCGGTGCAGCCTGCTCCTACCCAGCGTTGCCAAAGGACGCCTCCAAATCCTGTCCCCCCTTCTTCATCTTAGATAGGGATGAAAATACTTATCTAGAAGGGTTATTCTGGGGCAGAGAATAGGTACACAGAGCTTCTAGCCACCCAGCAGTGCCTGATAAATGTTAACCTGTTACTTGAAGACAGACTCCTCTTTTCTGTGCATACCGTTAAAACCCCCTTTTCTCAAATAAGTGGCGACTTTCAGTAACAGAAGGGAAGAGGACCTGAGGTGCCGACTAGTTCCTTTTAAAGAAAAGGAAGTTGAGACCTGGCCAGGGCAAGGGCTTGTCGGGAGCACACACCCCGGCCTAGAGGAGCAGAACTGTGCGCTGTGACTCATCAAGGTTGGCGCTCTCGGCCCTTTGATCTGGGATTTAACACAGTTATCATACTCCTCTGTGGCTGCTTAAACTCTGTGATTGCTGGCTAAAAATAGCGCACAAATGGCAGTTCTTGATCCTTGGATTCCTTTCTCTGGGGACCCGCAAGTTTTAAGAATGGGCTGAATGCCCTAACTGGATAAAGCGACTTTAACTTCGCGGGTCGTTACCAGTTTTTGCCAAGAAAAGCCCTCTCAAAGTCCAGTTTCTACTTTAGCTAATTGAAAATGATTTTTAAGGGAATATATTGTAGTCATTTTCATGACTACAAAAATAGATTCAGGGCGCATTCCAGACTCTGGAGGTAGAAGTTGTTTTGTTTTGTTTTGTTTTGAAACTTTGCTTTGAGTCTTTGGATTGCAAGATCTGTTTTTCATATTTCTGAAACAGCCACCTTAGGTTGCATTCATAAGAACAGTAAAATAGCACAAAACCCCAAGTAGGTGAAAAGCTGAGTTATTTCTGTGTTCATATTTTTATATAAAGTATCACTTTTGTAAATGTTTGTCCTGGCAATAAAAAAAATAGTTTAAAATAGAACCGGGGGATAAGATTAATAAAGCTCCAGGACATTGAAAAATGATGGCTGGCTCCTAAAGGGCTATGTTTTAACAAAAATGACTCCTTTAATTCTCTCTTTTTTGCCTAGTTTTTGCCAGATACAGTCTGAACCAAATTTGAGTCATATAATCAAGGGGGAAATGTTTTATTTTTAAAAGTGGAGACTAGTAGAAGCTGATTCATCTACAGATGAATTTGAAACAAGTGATATAGGGAGGAGGGGAAGAGTATTTTACTTAATGTGACAGGAAGGCAAAGGTTTTCTCCTTCATGATGGTGGCCTCAAAGGTCAGGATGGTCACAGCTATTCTTCAAAACCTTTCACAGGTCTTGATACAATCACTTACTTAGAAGTCGGTGAAATACCGTCTGTCTTGGTATTTTGAGATCTCCCAAAGGACAGGAAAGGTTCAAGATTTTATTAGGAAGCCAGGATCGTCACTTAGTTGCTTCAGTAGAAAGTCACTGAAGAAGTGATTTGAGGTGGTGTTACTGTGTGGATTATTTTTTGCCTTCACGATGTTTCTCTTGTCAATCTCCGTGTATGGGGTGGGGGAGGACATGATTGGAGGTATGCATATACACGCCCCCGGCACCTACAGTCTGGAGGCTGGTGTGGGAGACAAAGCTGTCTGCTCCTGCTACACACTGAGGCTGATTTAGGAGTGGCTCATTTGGTAGGTGGCGGGAGTCCTCTCATGTAGGTGGCTTGTCTCTCAAGAGCACCTGGGAGGGTAGTCCTTTTCTCCAAAACCTGCCTGGGTTTCTGTTGGAGGCTTAGCTGCCAAGATGTAGCTCCATGTTCCAGAGGTCAGGGCCCAAGCTGAAGTGAATAAATAATTTATATATAAGTATATAAATTTACATTTATATATATTTATATATTTATATAAATGCAAATTTATATATTTATATATTATATCTATATAATATAGATATAATATTTAATATATTATAAATTTATATAAATTTATATAAATATATATAATATATAATATTTATATATTATATATGATATATTTATACATATTTATATGTATTTTCTTATATATTTATATATTTTCTATATGCTTATATTTATATATTTTATATATTTACATTATTTATATATATTTATATATATTATATATATTTCCAATATATTTATATGTTGGAAAATATTAGTATATTTTCCAGCAGAAAAGGTGTGGTGTAGTCCCACTGGGTGTAGTCCCACTGGGTAATTGGAGGAATGTTGAAAAGTGGTTATTTACAAAGGCTAGTAATGACAGCCCCCCCCAGGGCCAAAAAAGGCTCAGGAGAGGACAGTTCCAGGAAGCAGGAAGGAGGGAGAGGGCCACCTTGAGAAGAGCTGTGACCTTCAGATAAAGGCCAGTAGTGGCCCAAGATGACTGAAGGGAGGAGCGAGGAGATAAGTAACCCAACTTTAACCTCTTGCCTTCCTTCAGGCTCCCACTGGGGCTCCTCACTGGTGAACCCCACTGGAAGCTGGAGGGCAAGAGAGCGCAAGTCTTGATGGGCCATGGAAGTCCGGAACCCTCAGCTGGAAGCATCGTGTTGAAACACAGAGTTACTTGAAGGTTTTGCAAAAATCACTGCTCATCCTCCATTGAGCAGATCTCCCCTTTCTTTGTTGTACTCAGGCGAATAATCTTCCAAAAGCCATTGCTGCCGCTCACACCTTTCTACTGAAGCACCCCGATGACGAAATGATGAAGAGAAACATGGCGTATTACAAGAGCTTGCCTGATGCCGAGGACTACATTAAGGACTTGGAAACAAAGTCATACGAGGTATATTTGGGTTTTTACACAGCCAGCCAGTTGCAGTGTGAGTGGCTGCAGAAGCGGGTCTTGATGAATAGCTATTGACATCCCAGGACCTCTAATGATTTTGGTGGTGTTGTTGAGTTTTATGACAATGGAAATGATTGACTTTTTTGCACAGTTGACCCGTTTGAGAATGAGATTTTACATTCTATGATGCACTTAAAGCCACATTTCCTTTAAATGCTGTATTTTAGAAATAAGGTCATTTGGGGGCACTTAGGTGGCTCAGTTAAGTGTCTGACTCTTGATTTCTGCTTAGGTCATGATCTCAGGGTTGTGAGATTGAGCCCCAGGTCAGACTTCTCTCTCAATGGGGAGTCTGGTTGGGATTCTCCCTCTCCCTCTATGCCCCCTTCCACTCCTACTCTCTCTCCCTCTGTAAGGAGGTAAATATGTTTGTTTGTTTGTTTGTTTTTAAGGAGGTCATTGGATCATTTAGTTTTCAGATAGAGGAATAAACACATATCTTGGATATCATCCATAAATGACCAAAAACACAAGAAACAGGAGCGTAAGTCTCCATTTCTGATGAAACTAGAAGACATATCTTTTTACACACACACACACACACACACACACACACATATGTATTGAGGTGGAAAGGGAATCGAGGAGCTTGGAGGACTGACTTGACAGATTAGAGGGTACTGAAATCTATGCATCTGTGAAGGGGAGTCTGATGGGAATGAATGAAGAAGCATCTAACTCCTTTGAGCACTTACTGTTGTTCAGACCTATTGAGTTTGGTACCCAGGGGCATGGTACCTGGGAAGGCTTAGGGCACGGTTAAAAAACAAAGGGATGTGTTGGAAGTATCCATGAGGAGCTGATAGATCCCAGCCAAGGACTGACTTTAGGGTCACCTGTCATGCGACCAGACTGCAAGCTCACTTTGTCATTGGTGGTGACCCTCAGATACAGAGTACAGAGTCTTGATCAGTTTTCCAGGGAAGCATTCTCCAGGCTCTTGCAGGACTCGTGAAATATCATGCTTGTCTGTCTGTGTCTGAGAGCCAGTCTGGGGAAAGCGGTGGGGGCCTCACAGCTGAGTCAGAGACTTTATCTGCTTCTTGGTTCTTAGCCTCATGCCTCAACCCCCGCTCTGCTATGCCTGATCCCTGACCCTCCAGCCCTTATAGATGGAGTCTCTAGAATAAATCACCAGTCTCTGGTGAGGAGCGCCTTTAGGAGGTATGATCCCTTGGGTGGACAGATGGGTGTGGAAGGAAACCTGGGGCTCTAACAATACTGTTCAGACTTTTGGCCCTGCTTTCTCTTCTGTGCCTAGCACCAGTCTCTGTGGTCGCTAGTGCCTGCAAATGCCGACAGGTGTATGACATAGTGTAGTGCATGGTGGCGACAGGTGGGGGGATCACTTCCCCCTAGACCCTCCTCTGTGATAATTTGGCTTTCGGTCCTTACAAAAGTTGTTGAAATGTCCTGTCTATTGCTGGTTCCTTTTCCATTCTCAGTGAAAAGAATTTCTGTCTTTGTACCTTTTTCACTGTGGTCTTCACTGGACTTGAGGAGCAGAGCTGAGAGCTCATGGTCAGTGCACTGCATCTAACTGCAGGTGGGCTAGACCATTCTCTCCCTCAGAGTCCTGCCGGGTGGGCTGGGGCTGCCCGGCTGTGTGCCCAAGGCTTCCGCCTCCAGGTGTGGCTTTCTTCTTGCTGCCGCCCAGCGGTCCCTGCAGAGCCAGCTGCCTGGACTTGCTGCTCGTTTTCCCGGCCTCTGGGCATGTGGTTCGGTTCTCTGCCTGCCTTATTTCCGGGGGATGCTGCATGCTCAGGAGGTTCAGGGAGATCAGCCTCTCTACCTGACACCTGAAGCTTGGGGTTCAGGTCTGCGGGGTGGTCCTTAGACACCCCCATCCTGGAGCAGCTGAACAAGAACTCCAAGTGGAGCATGCCGTGCTTATTTCCACAGGACCCTCCAGGTGAGCGGGGTCGTGCATGTACCCGAGGTCTCTTTTCTTGTGAGACTCAGAGGCTTCCTCAGCCCAGTTATTCCTCTTTTATCTGGTCCAGTCAGCAATTAGCAGAAGTGTCTTGACGTTCCACCATCTGGCACATGCCCGCCCTCCCCCGGAACTAGCACTAAGGCTTGGCATTCCTATTTTATACTTAACTGTTGGGAGAAGAGTGTCTGCCACCCGCTGTCAAGCATATATCTCTTCTGTGTTTCAGTTGTAAAAACCAGCTTTACTGACGTAGAACTTATTTGAAATTTATTGACTAATTTTAAGTGTATAATTCAATGAGTTTTGGTAAAGGTATGTGAGTGTGTAACTACCATCACAGTCACATCACAGAATATTTTCATCTCCCCTAAAATGTTCCCTCAGGCCCCTTTCCTGTCACACCTTTGTCCCAACCCCTGACCTTTGGCGGCCAGTGCCCTGATTTCTGTCACTGTAGTTTTTCTTTTTTTCTTGACTTGAATTTGATTTTATTATCAAACACCTCCTACTTTTTGAATCAAGTAAGAAGCGTACCATTGCACATAGGATAGCAAAGCTAGATATAAGTCAGTTCCTGGGCGGCTTCCTATTCAATTAAGGGTCGGTGTGGTTTTTTGGGGACTAATGAGAGTGGAGCTTCACGATGGTCTGACTCTTCTCGGTTGGACGGCCCTGCTCCTTCATGTCTGGGAGCTTCACCTTCTCTTCTTGCTTTCCAGAGCCTGTTCATCCGGGCCGTGCGGGCCTACAATGGCGAGAACTGGAGGACATCCGTCACAGACATGGAGCTGGCCCTTCCCGATTTCTTCAAAGCCTTTTACGAGTGTCTCGCTGCCTGCGAGGGCTCCAGGGAGATCAAGGACTTCAAGGATTTCTATCTTTCCATCGCAGGTTGGTGGCAGGCTATATTCCACATGTAAATGGGACAGCTGTCCTGTGGCATCTGTGTGCCTTCCTGGGGACTTGAGGGACTGTGAGGACCCCCCCTTTTTTTTTAAGATTTTATCTATTTATCTGAAAGAGAGAGAGAGCACAAGTAGGCTGAGTGGTACACAGAGGCAGAGGGAGAAGCAGACTCCCCGCTGAGCAAGGAGCCCAATGTGGGACTTGATCCTGGCACCCCGGGATCATGACCTGAGCTGAAGGCAGACCCTTAACTGACTGAGCCACCCAGGCGACCCTCTGAGTAGCTGTTGAGCTTCAGTATGAAGGGTGGCTGGGGAGGTAATATGTAACCCACATGTCCGGCCTTTGATTTAGCAGGGGTTTCTGAAAAAAATCCCTGAGTACAGTGTTCAGTCAAGCACAGCCTTAGAAAGGGGGTCCCGCAGATCAGCCCTGCCCAGTTACAGATCCCCTACAGGCTTTTGGAAAAATAAAAATGGGTCTGAGAGCAATTCATGACTCACATTGTATAAAACGTTACTAGTTTAGCCACCCTTAAGGGTGCATTCCAGTGGCGTATAATACATGTGCGCTGACGTGCCCCTACCACCGCTGTCCATCTTAGCCACCCATCATTTCACCTTCCCAAATGGATGTCCCGTACCCATTCAACAGCAGCTCCCCTCCTTCCCTGACAGCCACCACTCCGCTTTCTGTCTCTGTGAATTGGACTACTCCGGGTACCCTGGTGAAGTAGAATCCTATAGCATTTGCCCTTTTGTGACTGGCTTATTTCACGTAGCGTAATATCCTCCAGCCTCAAAAATATTGTAGCAAATTGGTTGCCTTTTAAATCATCAGTAGATTTTTCCTCTACATCTATTTTCTCCCTTTGGCTATTGAAAAAACGAGATCATTGGCCCCTGAGAGATTCCCATAGTCTGGATTTTGCTGACTGTACCCCCTTGGTCCTCTATTCCCTGTATTTCTTTTTCTTTTTTTTTTTTTTTTTAAGATTTTATTTGTTTATTTGACAGACAGAGATCACAAGCAGGCAGAGAGGCAGGCAGAGAGAGAGGAGGAAGCAGGCTCCCTGCTGAGCAGAGAGCCCAACGCGGGGCTCGATCCCAGGACCCTGAGATCATGACCTGAGCCGAAGGCAGCGGCTTAACCCACTGAGCCACCCAGGCGCCCCTATTCCCTGTATTTCTTATAACTTGGTAGCTGGATGGTGAGGCTTGATCAGGCTCAGGGTTGATTTTCTTTTCTTGTGGAGGTGGGGGCACAAGACAGCTTCCTAGTTGGTGCTCAGTTCTCGTGTTCCTTCCCACATCCCTTCATGCCTGTAATATCAGGAAGTACTCCCCACACTCAGACTAAAGGAGGGGTACGAAAAGAGTGCTTCCTTGGAGTTACCATGTTTTGACTATAGACAGTTGCTAGAAAAAGTGACATTATGTTCTAACTAGATGTCAGGCCCTGTTCTATGCTCTTTATGGATATTATTTTGAGTTTGCAACCCTATGAGAAAGGTACTAGCATTCTCCCCATTTTATAGCTGGGAAAGCTGAGGCCTAGAGAGATTAAGTACTGTGCTTATTGTTTTCTGGGGAAGGGCTGGGATTTGAACCCAGGCAGTCTTGACTAGAGTCTTCCCCAGTGAAATCGTCTCACCTCACCTACATTATACTTAATCTGGGACCTTATTATATTTTTCGAATAGGTAACATATATGCACATAGTATAAACTGTGAAAGACACAGAAGGATACATTGTAAAAAATAAGTCTCCTTCTGTATAGTCAGGGTCCTGACTGGATATAGATGGCGGACATACACAAGGATACCTCAATATGGATTTGTTCATAGAAATGTGGGTGAAGGTGAACCCCAAAGGGGGAAAATGTACCCTCGGGCTACTAGTAGTGGAGTTATTATCTCCTAGGATGAAGGGGAGGAAGGAGTTACAGGCAGTTATTAGGAAGTCTTGCTTCTATCCACATCTCTTCTACCCATTCCACTCACCTCAAAGGGAACCATTTTTATTACCTTCCGGCTTATACCTCTATAAGGTTTTTTTTCCTACAAAAATAAGCAAAGATCAGTTTATCTTTGATCTACCGAAGATATATCTCTATATCTTTATATGTAGATAGACGGATAATTGAGAAATTTTTTTTGTTTAAAATTTTTATATTTTATTTTAAAATAATTTTTTAATTTTCATTTTCATTTTTATTTTTTTTATTTTTAAGTAATCCAAACCTATAAAGAAGTAGCAAGAGTAGTACAAAGAACTCTCATAAACTATTTATCCAGATTCACCAATTTTTCACACTGATTGTGCCACATTTACTTCATCATTCTCTCTAGATATGTGTATGTAATTATTTTTATTACAGAACCACTTGAGAGTATGTTGCATACATCATGACCCTTTACCCCATAATACTTCAGTAAATTTCCCAAGAATAACAATATTCTGTATAAATCCACAATGCAGTTATTAAATTCAGGCAACTTAATATTGAGACAATACTTTTATCCGATCCATAGTTTATATTGCAGTTTTGCCCCTTATTCCATAAACGCCCTCTAGCAACTTTTTCTTTCCTGGTACACTCCAGTCCAATATCATGTTTCCTATTTATTTGTCATTTTTCTTTAGTGTTCTTTAATCTGGAATAGTTCCTTGGCCTTTCTTCTTATGCCATTAATTTTTTTTTTTATGTCATTCATATTTTTTTAAGAATATAGGCTAGGGGTGGCTGGGTGGCTCAGTCGGTTAAGCATCTGCCCTCAGCTCAGGTCCTGCTCCGGGTTCTGGGATTGAGCCCCACACTGGACTCCCTACTCTGCAGTGAGCCTGCTTCTCCCTCTCACTCTACTGCCGCTCCCCTTGTTTGTGCTCTCTCTGTCAAATAAATAAGTCAAATCTTTAAAAAAATATATAAGAACATGGGCCAGTCACTTTATAGGATATTCCTCAATATGGGTTCCTATTACATTCAGGTTGTACACATTGGGCTGGAACATTACAGAAGTATGCTTCTCGGGGTATCCCGTTCAGATGTGCATGGTACCTGTTTGCCCATTACTGGTGATGTTGATTTTTAAGCATTTGGTTCAGGTAATTTCCAGTTCCCAGCTTTTCAGCAATACTATTTTTCCTTTTGATACTAATAAATAATTTGGGAAAAAAATACTTCATGATGAGGACAATTTGCTGTTCATCAAATTGTCTCCATCCCCTCCCCTATGACCATACACATAGCAAATGAGCGGATATTGAGGATTCTTGCCTGATTTCTTTTTTCTCTGTAAAGGTTGTATATACGTACATCTATTTCTCTGTATTTTTTGTTTGCTTTTCTCACACCGAATAGGTACCGTACTTTATACACTGTTCTGTTCTTTGTTTTTTCCACTTAGCAATATATCCTGGCTAGCACATAGAGAGAGTCATTCTTTTTTGCTGTTGCTGACTACTCCACTGAGGGGTGGGGGGAATGAGGCACCACAGTTTATTCAACTCTCTGATGGACATTCGTTTGTGCCAGTCTTTTACTATTACATGTAATACTTCAGTGGAGAACTTCAGGCCTTTTTTTTTTTTTTTTTTTTTTTTTGGCTAAGTGTGGAGGTGTGTTTTCAGAGTCAACATAAGTCGGATTGGTAGTTCAAAGAGAAAATGTCTTTGTAAACTATTTAAGTGTATTTTAAGTTACCATTTTGTTTCCTAGCAAAAATGTGTGAGAGTACCTATCGTCTACAGTCTGGCCAACAAAATGTGTACCATCATCCTGGATCTTTTGCCGGTAGCTGCACGAAGGGAGGAAAGGGAGGGGGCCGAGGTTCATATGGGAGGATTTTAGTGACCAGTCCTGAAAGCAGTGGAAGTAGCTTTCATTAGTTGTTGCGTCCACATTTCATTGGCACAACTAATCATAGGGCGCCAACCCAGATGCAAGGGAGGTTGGGAAATGTAGTCTTTGATGTCTTTCTCTATTATTATATTTAGGTCTACCTATTCTCTTTTAATGGCTGTTTAGATTCCTACTATTTGTATGTACCATAATTGATTAATCACCTGTTAATTGGCAGTCAGGTTATTTCCAGGTCTGCTTGTTGTTGCAACAGTGCTTATATGTGCTTGTGTCTAAAGAAACTTTCCTAGAAGTAGACTGCTGGGAAAGGATGAATACCCAACTTTTGTATCAACATAGAAGGGACTGGAAGAGATTATGCTGAGTGACATAAGTAAAGCAGAGAGAGTCAGTTATCATATGGTTTACTTATTTGTGGAGCATAACAAATAACATGGAGGACATGGGGAGATGATGAGGAGAAGGGAGTTGAGGGAAATTGGAAGGGGAGATGACCCATGAGAGACTATGGACTCTGAAAAACAATCTGAGGGTTTTGAAGGGGCAGGGGGTGGGAGGTTGGGGGAGCCAGGTGGTGGGTATATAGAGGGCATGTATTGCATGGAGCACTGGGTGTGGTGCATAAACAATGAATTCTGTTACGATGAAAAGAAATTAAAAAAAAAAAAAGAAGAAGTAGACTGCTGGGCCAACGGATATGTGCATTTTAACCTTTGATGCATTTTGCCAAATGGCTCTCCAAAAAATGTGTTCATATTTTGCTTCTAATGACAGAATAGGAGAGTGTAAATTTCACCATTCTCCCTAACACTGGGTGTTACTGAATTTTTAAAATTTTGCCCATTTATTTATTTTTTTTTAAAGATTTTATTTATTTATTTGATAGAGAGAGATCACAAGTAGGCAGAGAGGCAGGCAGAGAGAGGGAGGGAAGCAGGCTCCCTGCCAAGCAGAGAGCCCGACGCGGGACTCGATCCCAGGACCCTGAGATCACGACCCGAGCCGAAGGCAGCGGCCTAACCCACTGAGCCACCCAGGCGCCCTATTTTTTTTTTTTAAAAGATTTTATTTATTTATTTGACAGAGAGAGATCACAAGTAGACAGAGAGGCAGGCAGAGAGAGAGAGAGGGAAGCAGGCTCCCTGCTGAGCAGAGAGCCTGATGCGGGACTCGATCCCAGGACCCTGAGATCATGACCTGAGCCGAAGGCAGCGGCTTAACCCACTGAGCCACCCAGGCGCCCAAATTTTGCCCATTTAAATGACAGGCAGTAGCTACACTTATGGGGAACACAACAAAACGTATAGACTTGTTGAATCACTATGTTGTATACGTGAAACTAACGTAATGTGTGTGTCAACCCTACTTCAACAAAACAGGATTTTTGTTGTTGTTTGCAAATTTAGCAATTTAAACTATTTTAGGTGGGATTGTGTTTCTTCATAACAAATGAGGTTTATCTTTTCACAATGTGTCTTTGCCATTTTTATGATTTCTTTTCTGTGAACATCCTTTGGCCATTTTATATTGGGTGTTTGTCTTTTTTCTTACTGTTTTAGGGAAGTTTATGTATTGAGGATTTTAGCCCTTTCATCATAAGTGTTGCAAGTATTTTCCCCGTATCATCTTTGCCTTTTACCTGGATCACTGAGTGGGGCAGAGGGAGTACTGAGAGGCTGATGAATGCGCTGCTCTGAGAATTTGTGTGGCTTCTTTCAGATCATTATGTGGAGGTCCTGGAATGCAAACTACAGTGTGAAAAGAACCTCACGCCTGTTATAGGAGGCTACCCAGTGGAGAAATTTGTGGCCACCATGTATCATTACTTGCAGTTTGCTTACTATAAATGTAAGTAATTATCTTCTACCAGCTCTTAGGCAAGGTCCTTAATTCTCCTGAGACTCAGCTTCCCCATCTGTAAAAAACAGGGGTAACAACACTTACCTCTGGTTGTTGAGAGAATTCGTCAAGGTTGTGTTGACAGCCCTGGTGCCGTGCTTTGCACAGAAAGCCAGTCAGCAAGACCTGGTGATTCAGGGCACGGACCCTGGAGCCAGACCACCTGGGTTTATGTTTCCGCTTCATCACTTCCTAGCTTCTCCGTGCCTCAGTTTCCTCATCTGTAAATTGGAGATAATTGTTCTAACCTTGTGAGCTGATACATGTGGAATTCTTAGGGTATTTGTACACTAGCACATGGCCTTATCTCCTCCCTATCATCAGCCTTCCCTTCCAGACTGAGTTTTATTCCACTCTGTCCTTCTTGGGCCTGAAATTTGAGTTAATCTATCAGAACGTTCCAAGGAGTTGAAGGGAAACAAATGTAAGAGAAAGTTCATCAGAGTTCAGACTTCAGAGTCTGTCTTTTTGCCCTTTCCTCCTCTCCCCATAACTGATGTTGTCTGAGTGGTGGGAACCTTGTGGTGGCAAGCACAGAAGGATCCTTCCCATTCAGGGATGGGTGTCCTCGGGGACTCAGGGATATGCTGTCAAGGGACCAGCGACCTTGGCTTCCACAGCCCACTGTGGCTATTATGTTCTTTGTTGAGTTTCCTCTTCTTGCAATAGCCACCTGCCTTTTTATCTCCCTTCTTGTCCTCTTCAGGACTGAAAGATGTGCCTGCTGAAGGTTAAAAAAGGGACCCCCCCCCAAAAAAAAAGGAAAAAATATTTTCTTCTATATGTGTGTGTGTGTATTTAATTGTGTTCATCAGGATTATTCCTGAGAAGACCCTGTAGCTGTCATTTACAGTAGAGCTTTGTGAGTAGGGGAAATTGCCCCTTTCAGCAGTGAACCTGCTATTATGACAGCCTGAACCTCATCTAAGGATACGATGAGATATCCTGAAATGTCCCTTGATTGGGACGTTCCTCAGATCAACAGGAGGGTGAGGTGTGTCTTCAGCAGATGTCCCTTCCCGTGCATAGAGGCAGGGATGATATTTTATTTGCCACTGTAATCCTGGTACTAGGTAAAGGATTATTGAGCATAGAGGACAATAGTCTTATTCTTTTTGGTGAGGGGTGGGGTGAGGTGTAGAGATGGAGCTGGGGTGGGGGTGGGGCAGAGGGAGAGAGAATCCTAAGCAGGCTCCGTGGTCAGCACAGAGCCTGATATGGGGCTCTGTCCTACCACCCCAAGATCATGACCTGAGCCAAAATCAAGAGTCAGATGCCCAAACGACCAAGCCACCCACGTGCCCCAAGTCTTATTCTATATAATCTAGGAACATGCTTTCACATGAGACACACCAAGCTCACGATGGGTCCTCAGCAAATATTTATTTGGCTGCGTTCTAATGACAAGGGGACAATTTTCTCCTAGACAGTGTTTTGCTTATGAAGAGCCCTCTTTTTCAGTCTAAGTGATTGATTAGCGCTTTCTTATGAAAAGACGTGTAGTATAGGCTTGTTACAGCAAAGTGAGCATCTCAGAGATGTATAGAGAAACACCCAAAGCAGAGCACCCATTCCCATCTCCCCCACTTATTCCCACTTAGTATTAACTCTGTGTTTATATTCATCCATGCTTGGAAGAGCCCTATTTTAAGGAGAATTATGGAAAGTCATGTATATTTTAAAAACTTATTCTGGAAAATGTAAAGTGTACATTAGAGATGATGGTATAATGAACTGTATAGTATGCCCATCACCCAACTTGAACTTTTGTCAATACTTTGCCAGTCTAGGATTTACAGTTTAAAAGTTTTCTGTTGGGATGCCTGGGTGGCTCAGTCAGTTAGGCAGCTGCCTTTGACTCAGGTCATGATCCCGGGTCCTGGTATCGAGCCCCGCGTTGGGCTCCCTGTCAGCGGGGAGTCAGCTTCTCCCTCTCCCTCTATGCCTCCCCCTGCTCATTCTTTCTTTCTTTCTCAGATAAATAAGATCTTTTAAAAAAAGAAATAAAAGTTTTCTGTGGATGAAAACACAAGCTACTGTTGTTGTTTGATAAGCTGGTGTTTTTATTTCATTTTCCTGAAAACCTGTGTTGGCACCTTCTTGAGCTAGGCCCCGTGTTGGACTCTGAAAGGGAAAGAATCCAGCAGGTGTTCGAGCCCTCTGAGCAGGGAGTGGCTCTGCCTGCGCAAAGCCAGAGCACTAGGCCTTTAGAAGCGTTCCAGATACATCCAGGCTCTGGCAGCACACTTGTCCTTGGAATCCTCACATGCTCTGAAGATCGCCCTGAGTATCAGAGACGATGGCTGTGACCTGTAGATACCCGTGGACCAAAACCTCTAGCTCTACCCGCTGCTCCACGGGAGATCTTTGCTTTCTGGGTTTACAAGTGAAAAGTATGAGTAAGATATACTTCTTGAAACTAGCTTCTTGAAAGTCAGCCCTGTTGCGAACTCTTTTGAGATTATCTACCACACTCAATTTTTTGAGCACAGGTGTTATTTATGCTTGAACCCCAGCCCCGGAGACCGTGAAATAAGTACCTTCCCCACCTTGCAGACTTTGTGAATAACCCGCGCCCTGAAGTCGTCGGTTTTTAGGGTTGTTGTTACAGGAGACAGCCACTGGGTGGCACAATTTATTCATACCCACGTTTTGGCTAACTAGAGCTTTAGCAGAGGTAGTGGGTTGTAAATTGGAGGGCCCTGTGCCGGGATAAATACCCAAGGGCTTGCGGCTAATCACCTCTTTCCCCTTGCCCCCCACCTCCAAAACAAATCCCAACGCCTGCAGATCCCCTGTGCTGAAGGTGCTGTCATAGGTGGGGCAAGTCTAAGGAGACGTCGATACCGGGTGACTTCACCTCGCTTCCAGCCCAGAAGGTCCACCATCCTTTGTGTCTTCTAGGTTTAGGTTAGCTGTAGGAGGGCTACGTGGATCTGGGGATTATGGTGCCATCCAGATGGGACCCAGGCATCTCCTCCCTACATCCCTCAGCCCCAGGACAGTCCAGGGGACCCAGCCTTCCCCGCTCAGGTCAGTGGAGCCTGAAGTAGAACATAGTAGACATTTCGGCAAAGGCATCTACCTAACGAGAAATTCCATGTTTCAGAACCACTCCCCAGGCTGCTGTGGAGACCCAGTCTGTGCCCGGCCCACCCAGGGATGGCTCTGGCCCGTCACAGGCTTTCCCAAGGAGGGGCTGTGGAGGAGGGGCTTGCCCATGGATGTTTTCTTTAGGAAGCCAGTGCGGCTGAGGGGAACTTCAGGCACGGTTTGCTGATTTCCTGTGCCTCTTTTCTCCCCGGCCTCAGTGAACGACCTGAAGAACGCGGCCCCCTGCGCGGTCAGCTACCTGCTCTTTGACCACGACGACAAGGTCATGCGGCAGAACCTGGTGTATTACCAGTACCACAGGGACAAGTGGGGCCTCGCAGATGAGCATTTCCAGCCCAGACCAGTAGGTGGCGGGGCGCGGGGCACCACGTTTGCGGGCCTCTTCCTTCTCACGTTAGGCGACTGCTTTGCCTCTTAGGGGAAAGCATTATTACAGAAATGAAGGGGAACCCCTTTTTTCTGGGTGGGTTTTTGTGGGGTTTTTTGGTCTTTTAACATTTTACTGCTCTATTCTGATTCCTATATCAGTAAAAACTACAAATTTCAAACATTACAAAATAGTTTTACTTAGAAAATGTAATTCCCTCAAAATCCCACACTTTTTCTTTACCCTCTGCATTTGCTCGTATATACAGCTTGTATTTATTTATTTTTACAGAAACAGGGTCAAACTTTACCTGCTGTTGCGCAACTTGCTTTGTCTTTCCAAGAATTCATCAGGAATGTTTTCCATATCACACTCACACACCTACTTATTTTTTAACACCTCCAAGATAGATTCATTTATGGATGGACCATCATTTAATTCACCTGATGGACAAGCTCAGCTTTGCATGTGTTTGTTTTCAGGGAACTCCACAGATTATATATTACTTTTAAAAAATCTTTTCTAGTTGGTCTTTGCCCTTAACTTGTATTTTCCTTGGAATTTTTATACACTGTCCCAGTTTGCCATACACACCTCATGCCCCTGCCAACACACACACACACACACACACACACACACACACACACACACTCGCTCTCTCTGTCTCACTCTCTCACTCATTTGGGGTTGGCCTTTCTTTTTCAATTGAGTTATGTTTTACATACGGTAAAATTCATGCTTTTGAAACGTACAGTTTAGTGGTTTCTAGTAGAGTCACAGAGTTTTACAACCATGACCATTGTCCAATTTTAAACATTTTCATCAAGCCCAAAAGAAGTCCATACCCTGTCTCGCCCTCCCTCCAGTTCTGACATTAAAAGGTTGGTCATAGAAACTGTTCTGTGTTTGTGTCTGAACAGGAAGCCGTTCAGTTCTTTAATGTGACTACACTCCAGAAAGAGCTGTATGACTTTGCGAAGGAAAATATAATGGATGATGATGAGGTAAGTTTTCATGTTGAGCACATGTCTGGCTAAGAGAAAATATTACTCACATCTTTGCAGGAATCACTGGAAGGCAGAACCATCCCTGAAACAGAAGGGAACCTTGAGAAATACAATTTCTGTGGGCGTTTTAATGAAAGAGCATTGGAGGGGGGAACACAGCTTTCTAGAAAACCCAGGTCATAGCACCACATTTCCTGAAGGTGAATATGGAGGAACCTATCATTGAAGTCATCCAGTGATAATTTTTTAACTTTATAAAATTGCAGTGGATTTTCAACGACTCAGCACTCCAAACACACTTGGAACGCCTCATCCCAGTTTTTCTGGGTTATGATTATTATCTTTTTCTTCTTTTTCTTTTTGTAAATTTAGTCCTTGCTGTGAGTCATTTTCTCATTCTCTGAGATTGCTTGAAATTCCTGATTCTCATTCAGCTGCCTCCTTTTTTTCTTTTTTTAAAGTTTTTATTTAAGTAATCTCTATTCCCAGTGTGGGATTTGAACTCATGACCCTGAGATCAAGAGTCACATGCTCTCTGACTGAGCCAGCCGAGTGCCCCTCAGCTGAGTGCCCCTCAGCTGACTCCTTTTTTTGACAAAGACTCCACTGCTGATGGAGGAGTCATTTTGGGGTGGGGCAGCCTACTCACAGAAAAGTCCTCATTATGGGGGGTATTTAGAGAGATGTGTTTGAAACAAACCAGAGCATGCTTCCTAAGGCAGCGAGGGACTTGCTGGCCTGACCCCTCACTTCACAGACAAAGAGCTGGGGGAGAGGAAAGTTCTGTGAGCTCCTGGGCAAGACCCAGAGGCCCTGAGCCTCTGGGTCTTCTCTTTCCACTGCCCTGGTTTTTGGTGGAGCACTTTGAAATAAGTTATGATCATGGAATTTGCTTTCCATGAACAAATTTGCGTGGGGTGGACCCATCACTGGCAGGCACTAAATTCCCCAGAGCTCTGGTTTTCCATCTATAAAATGGCACTAACAATGTTGACCTCACAGGGTTGGGAAAATGAAGTATCACACTGCATGTGGAAAGGCTTTATAGACTAGAAAGTGGTCACTGTGTCCTGAGTCCTAGGTTGGGTTAAGAAGCAGAGCCTGACATAAGGTCACAAGGACGCTGCAAAGGAAGGAATGCTGGCTACGCACAAGCAAGGTTGGATGCTCTAGTTTGGAGAGTGGAGAAAAATATATTTAGAAAAAGGAAGAGCTGAGTTCCTAATGGTCCAGAGCAAGCCACTCTTGATACTTTGAGATATATACTTCCAATGTTTTCTATATTTTCTGATATCTATTTATAATAAACCCAACTGTAATAGATATCATGGATTTTCCATTTGAAATGGTAATATGAGAAGTTCCCCTTGTGATGTTTTTCTAGAACACCTTTATTCACACACCATAAAGTACAAAATATAGTGGTTTTTAGTATATGTGCAAAGTTGTGTATCCATCATTAAGAATTTTAGGGCATTTTCATTACCCCAAAAAGAAATCCCAAACCTGTTAGTAGTCATTCCCATTCCTTCTCCTCTGTCCATCCCTCCCCCATCTCTGTCCCCAGCTCCTGGCAACCACTAATCTACTTTCTGTCTCTATGGATTTACCTGTTCTGGACATTTCATATAAATAAAATCTTATGGTAGGTGGTCTTTTGCAATTGGCTTCTTTCCCTGAGCATAATGTTTTCAAGGTTCAACCATCTTGTAGTATATATTGTGTTACATGTAAAATTCCTTTTTATTGCTGAATAATATACCACTTTGTGGATATACCACATTTTGTTTACGTGTTCCTCTGTTGATGGACATTTGCACTGCGTTGTTTTCACTTTCTGACTATTTTGAATAATGATGCTATGAACATTTGTGCACGTGTTTTTGTTTGGACAAAAGTTTTAAATTCTCTTATATATGTGGAAGTGGAATTGCTGGGTCAGATGGTAGCTCTGTAGTTAGTTAAATTGTTGAGGAATTCCCAAACTGTTTTCCAAAGTGGGTGTACAATTTTACATTCCCACCAGCAGTGTATGACATTTCCAACTTGCCACATCTTTGTCAGCACTTCTTGGTGTTTGTCTTTTTTATTATAGCATTCTAGTGGGTGTGAAATAGTACTTCATGGCGGTTTTGATTTTAATTTCCCTAATGACTAATGATGTTGAGCATTTTTTCATAAGCTTATTAGTCACTTGTATATCTTCTTCAGAGAGATGTCTAGTCTATTCAGATTCTTTGTTCATTTTTTAATTAGGATACTTGTCTTTTTATTGTTCAATCGTAAGTGTTCTTTATATATTCTGGTTATAAGTCCTCCATCAGATACATGAATTGCAAATATTTTCTTACAGTCTGTGGGTTGTCTTTTTCATTTTCTTAATGGTGTCTTGAAGCATAAATGTTTTAAATTTTAATGAGATCCAACGTGTCTGGTTGAAACTGCATCTTGAAATTGAAAGTGTAAGTCTTCCAACTTTATTCTTCTTCTAGGTTGATTTGGCTATTATGGGTCCCTTGCATTTCCATATGAATTACAGTATCAGCTTACCAATTTCTTTTTTATTTTTTGCTTGTGTTTTTGGTGTCAATATCTAAGAAACTTTCACTTAATCCAAGATCATGAAAATTCACTCCTATTTTTTTTAAGATTTTTATAACTTTAAGACTTTAGTTCTACAATCTATTTTGACTTCATTTTACATATGATGTGAGGTAGGGGTCCAATTTCATTCTTTTACATATTGATATCCAGTTGTCCTGGCACCATTTGTTGAAAAGATTTTCTTTTCCATTTAATTGTCTTGGTACCCTTGTAGGAAATCAACTGACCATAAATGTAAGGGTTTATATCTGGACTCTCAATTCTAATGCATTGATCCAGATTTCTATCCTTATGCCAGTACCAGACTGTCTTGAATACTGTAGCTTTGTACTGCATCTTGAAATTGAAAATGTGAGTCTTCCAACTTCATTCTTCTTCTAGGTTGTTTTGGCTATTCTGGGTCCTTGCATTTCCATAGGAATTATAGCATCAGCTTGCTGATTTCTTTCTTTCTTTTCTTTTTAAAGATTTTATTTATTTATTTGATAGAGAGAGAGAGAAAAAAAAAAAAACAAACAGAAGGAGTGGCAGGCAGATGGAGAAGCAGGCTCCCCACTGAGCAGGGAGCCAGATGTGGGATTTTATCCCATGACCTTGGGATCATGACCTAAGCCGAAGGCAGACGCTTAACCTACTGAGCCACTCAGGCGACCCTGCTTGCCAATTTCTGCAAAAGGCTGCTGGGATTTTTTTGTAGGAATTGTGCTAAATCTGAAGGTCCTTTATTTATTTATTTTTTGATCCTTTAGATAGTATTGACATCAAAACAGTATTAAGCCTTCTGATCCATTAACATGGGATGTCTTTCCACTACTGGAGGTTTTCTTTAATTTCCTTCAGTAATGTTTTCTTAATTTTCATTATTTTTGATTCTGTTGCAAATGGAATTTTTTCTAATTTTTCTTTTCAGTTGTTCATTGCTAGTATGTAGAAATACAATTGATTTTTGTGTATTGATATTGCAATTCTGCAGATTTGTTGAACTTGTTTATTCGAATAGTTGTGTGTGTGTGTGCGCACGCGCATGCGTGCTTGTACATTCAAGTGTGTGTGTGTATGTGTGTGTGTGTGTGTGTGTGTGACTGTGTTGCTTAGGAGTTTCTACATGAAACATGAGTTTCATGTTACCTATGAATAGAGGTGATTTTACTTCTTCTCTTCCAATCTGGATGACTTTTGTTTATTTTTCTTTGCTAATTTCCCTGACTAAAACTTCCACTAAGATGTCAAATAGAAGTGGGGAGAGTGGACATCCTTGTTTTGTTCCCAGTCTTAGAAGAAAAATATTGTGTTAGCATTAAGAATGTTGCTAGCTGTGTGTTTTTTTGGTAGGTGCCCTTTGTCAGGTTGAGAAAGTTCCCCTCCTCTTCTTAGTTTGTCAAGTATTTTTAACATGAAGTGGTGTTGAATTTTGTCATTTGCTGTCTTCTGCGCCTACTGAGAGGATTGTGTGTTTTTTGTAACTTTGTTAATGTTTATAATAAACATGACTTTTTAATGACTAATATTCCCTGGTATCAATTTTTTTTAAAGTAAAGCTTTTTGTTTTTGCAGGCTTTTAGGTTGCTTCCAACTTTTTGCTCTCACAAATAACATAGCTATGACTAAATTGGTTACTTCTTTTCTGGTCATTTCCTTAGGATAAATTTCCATGGGTGGAATTCCTGGGTCTAGGGCTATGAACATTTTGAACGCTCTTGATGTACAAAGACAATATGTTTCGAAAAAATCATACATATTAGCACAAGAGAATTTTTATGATATTCAGAAATGTTCTGTCATGTCACAGATGAGGAGATAAATTCAGAAAGGTGGAGTGACTTGCTCAAAGTTACACAGCTGGTTAGTAATCACCCGTTGAACATCAGGCTTATCCTGGGCTTTAAAACTCCTAGTATTCTTGGACTTGATACAGTCAAGATAAAAAAAGGAGTCTGTCAAAGGTCCTAGAAGAAATTAACTTATTAATCAAAGCTTTAGAATTGTGAAAGAAATAATCCATCTCTAAAGAACAAGCTATTTTCTTTTCTAGATATCAAATTATGGCAAGTAATTATTTAAAACAAAGTATCATCAATACAATAAAATTCCTAATTTAATCTTTAAAATTTCCAAAGGACAAAATACTACATTGAAACAAAACATCAATACAATTTAGCTACTGAAGTTAGGGCATTCTCCTTTATTATTATCTTCCTGGGGTCGAAATGTGTTGTAAGAGCTCCTGAAAGTTCTCACACTGGTTAGAAATTTTGCAGACATTTATTACGGTTTCAGAAACTTTATAAAGCAGGCTGAAATAGGTACTTCAAGTTTCGGGTTCTGATGGTTGTTTGATTTGGGAAGGTCTAAAAGAAATAGATTATAATTTGCAGGAGTGATTTGTTGAGGGAGTGCTCTCAGGGAGGAGAGAAGCGAGGGGCAAGGGAAGGAGCCACGAAGATGTATGGTCTCAGCTGGAGTCAAGTTTAGCCTGATCCCACGGGAGTTCTGGAGCATGGATTGTACCACAGAGCTCTTCCTGCATTTTACAGGCAGCTTATCCTTCTGTCCTTGGTTGTTGGCAGCCCAGAGGGGCTGGTGTCTAAGCTCCCTGGTGGGGCTGCTCCTTTTATTCAAGATCAGTTGTCCAGAAAAGGGGCAGCTATCAGCCATCAGTAATTGACATTTCCAACAGCTGGGGAATGGGTGCATTCCCCAAGCAGATCTGAGCTAGGCTCTTGGTGCCTCCATTCTAACAAACCACAGAGGGGGTTGTGTTTCTTTCATCTGTATTGTCTTGGGTACTTATTAGTGACCTAAGAACAGACAATACCATCATCCCCATGTCACAGCAGCCACACAGCAGGAAACAGTAACTCTGGAGACAGCTGTCAGGGCCATACATATAATCCTTCTACTGTGTTTTCCTTTTGGGATCCAGAAAGCAACCAAAGAGCATCATTTTTTCTCTTTTTCTTTTTTTAAAGATTTAATTTGTTTATTTGAGAGAGAGTAAAGCGAGCTAGAGAGAAAGAAAGAGAGCCAGGTGGAAGGAGAAGCAGGCTCCTCGCTGAGCAGGGAGCCTCACACGGGGCTCGATCCCAGGACTCTATCCCAGGACTCTGCGATCATGACCTGAGCCGAAGGCAGACACTTAACCCACTGAGCCACCAGACACCCTAGAACATCGTTTTTTCAATCAGTAGTCTTCCATTTCCATAACTTCAGTTTCTAATCTCAGGCATGACAAGGTAGATGTATTTGGTGAAAATAATAAGACTCCCTTTAGCGTCTCATGTACTTGGGAGATTTCCTAACTATCCTCAGATGCTGATATTTTTCTAATGGGAAGTGTGTTAAAATATCAAAAAGAGCAAATAGGCTCTAGGCCTGGGATGGTGACTTCTGTGGAAGAGGCCAAGCTTTAGCAGGGGTGGTTGGCATCAGTGGGGCTGGCCCTCATGGGAGCAGGACTTGGCCTGTTTGGTGGTTCACTCATTCTTGGCAGTTAAGAGAATGGGTGTCATCAGCTGGGCCCAGATGTGTTTTGGGAGAGAAATCAATGCGGAGAAGGAAATCAGAAAGTATCCTGGGCTATTCCAGGTTAAGGCTGATTGCAGAAGGAGGGAGCAGATGGGCTCCTAGTCCTGAGAGTGGGCACGTGGTCCCACTGTACCCAGGAGACTGTCTTGTAAAGGGAGTGACTGCTTGAGCACACCAGCACCGTGCACCAATACTCTCCATCATTCCTTTAGCAGGTTTCCCACCTTCCGCGTGCCACATTCCGGGGAAGAAAAGCAACCCAGGTGCTGGTCCTGGAGAAGCTCATGGTCTGCTGATCAAGGCAGAAGGGGAATAGATAGAGAGTGCTCCTGTGGAATAACTGCTAAGGGCTTGGGGTGCCCAGAAGAGGGCGCACTGAGCAGGTCTTTAAGAGGGTGGCTGGATTGCCCCCTTCCCACGGGCCACCCACGGGGGTTCCAGAGCTCGTGACTCCACGTTCACATGGAGGGGAAGCCACGTCCCTCCCAGGGGGACGTCAGGTCCTCTGGGCGCAAGGGCAGTGGGGAAGGGCTGCTCCAGCCCACGCAGGCAGCCAGCAGAGGCATCTTAGAGACAGTCTCTGCTTACCAGCACTTTTATTTTTATTTTTTAAGATGTTTATTTATTTATTTGACGCAGAGAGAGAGAGAGCCCGAGTAGAGGAAGCAGCAGGCAGAGGGAAAAGGAGAAGCAGGTTTCCCATGGAGCAGGGAGCCCAAGGCGGGGCTCGATCTCAGGATGCTGGGATCATGTCCTGATGCTTAACGCCTGAGCCACCCAGGCACGTCATTACTGGCACTTTTAAAGTCAGGTAGCCCACCTAACACAAGTGTCCTATTGTCTCTTACAGGGAGAGGTTCTGGAATATGTGGATGACCTCTTGGAGCTGGAGGAGACTGGCTAGTCCACAGCGGAGAGATGCCTCTCGATGTTCAGGAGACCCAGATTCGTCTTCCTTACCCCAGTAGCCCTTGTTGTTGATACCTCAAAGCCTTCTCTTTGCTCTGTGAAGTGAAAGGGAAGCCTCAGCTCTCACAACATACAATAAGGGGTGAACCTGCCTTCCCTGTGACTGCCTCCCCATGGTCTGCCTCCCCATGGTCTACCTACATCCACACCTATCTCCCTCCCTATCTTCAAACCTGCCTTGTCCACGTTCACGCCCACCTTTCTCACCGTTTTCGTTGGAAGGACAGTCTTCCATTTTTCCCCCCCAGAAAATCACTATTATTTTTTAAATAAGAAAAATACTCCTAAAATTAAGTAATTGTGAAGACCTACTTTGGGTTTTCGCTCTTCCAGATTTTGGACTCCTTTATCCCCATGCCCTGATCCAGAAAAGATAAGCAGACAACAAGGGCCAAATTCCTCCACGCCCCCGACAGCCTACACATGGTCTGACCTGCACCATTTCCGGCCCCCACTGAAAGACAGTTTGGGTAGATAGTGCAGGCTACAGAAATAGGGCTTTTGCTCAACACTTCTGCCTGTCCGACGTCTTACAATGGTTGGTCGGTCCCCCATGGGGAAAATAGTCAGTTACAAGTCTCAAATTTCGAATGCAAGAAAGCAGAGGGAGTCTAGTTTCATTCATTCTTTCAATAAATATTTATTGAGCACCTGCCTACATGCTAGACATTGACCTGGGCACTGGAAATGCTGTACAGAATGACAGAAAAAAACCCAAAACCAAACCCTGCCCTCTGGAGCCTACATTCTATAAGGAGAGACAGACAACAAATAAATAAGAATAAATATATACAACCTATCAACAGTGTTAATTGCTATGGAGAAAAATAAAGCAGGGAAATGAGTACAAAAGCCTGGAGATAAGGCTACAGTTTTAGATAGCATGGTCAGGGAAAACTTCACTGGGAAGGCGACATTAGAGCAGAGACTTTAAGGAAGCAGTTCTCAGGGAAAAGCATTCCAGATGGAGGGAACAGCATATGCGTGAGAACATGCTTGCTGTGGTGGGGGAATAGCAAAGAGGCCAAGGAGAGGAATGGGCAAGGGGAAGAATGGAAGGAGATTAGGTAACGGAGGTGGGAGAGAGGACAGGTGGCTTAGGCCAGTGTAAGGCCTCTAGCTCCTACTCTGAGTGAGATGGGAACCACTGGAAGGTTTGGGGAGAGGAGTGCCTTGGCTGCCATATTGTGACCAACGGCAGATGCAGGGACATCAGGCAAAGGGCGTGCTGGCTTGAACCTGAGCCGTTGCAATGGAGATGGTGAGAAGTGGTCAGACTTGGACTTATTTTGAAAGCTGGGCCTGTAGGATTTGGTGACAGATTGGATATGGAGCATAAGAGAAGGAGGGGTTAACAGTGACCTCAAAGGGTTTTGGCCTATGTAATGGGAAGGATGAAGTTGCTATTACTGAGTATAGGGAAGTTGGTTGCACGTGTTAAGTAAGGAATTTGGTGCAAAGTAGGCTCTCTGAGGCTGGGACGGATGGTTCAGGCTGCAAATAAAAATCTGAGAGCATCCTCAGATCAGGTCTTTGATAGAGCCTGGTCCAGACGCATGGGTTTCTTTTGGGGGTACATTCAGAGGAAACCTGTGAAGGCCTCCATCAAGCATAGTTACTGACTGTCCTGTAGGGGGTAGGGGGTACCTTTGAAGGCAAGAAGCTCGGTCAGCTGAGGGCAGTTCTCTTGAAGGACGGTGACCACTGGCAGTGGATGGGCCTGGTGAGGGGCTGGGAGCAGGGATGTGGGTCCTGGCTCTGTGAAGGGAGGTTGGGAGGAATGCCAAGCCCCCGCTGAATCGTCAGCATGTACATGGTATGGAAAAAACCATGAGCCCGGATGGGGTCCCCCAGACTGCATGTATATATTGAGAAGCAAGAGAAAAGGGCCAAGGACAGAGCTCTGGTGCTCTCTGGGAAATGAGAAACCCACCAAAGACACTGAAAAGGAGCCACATTTGAGGTTGGAGAAACCCAGGAAAGTGGTGTTTTGGAATCTGAGTTTCTTTTTTCAACCTTATTCCCTCCTCCAGCAAGCTGCCCAGTTGAGTTGAGACTCTAGGGATGGAGGCTGGAGGAGGCTGGCTCAGCACTGGGGAGACAGGACTTTTCTTTTCTTTTTTTTTTTTTTTTAAGATTTTATTTATTTATTTGACAGAGAGAGATCACAAGTAGGCAGAGAGAGAGAGAGAGAGGAGGAAGCAGGCTCCCTGCCGAGCAGAGAGCCCGATGTGGGACTTGATCCCAAGACCCTGGGATCATGACCTGAGCCGAAGGCAGAGGCTTAACCCACTGAGCCACCCAGGCGCCCCGAGACAGGACTTTTCTTACAGTGGTGTGGAGTGAAGGGAGATAGAGTTTGGGGTCTTTAAAGAATAATTAGGGGTGCAAAACTCCTGTCTTTCCCCTCACCCCCATCTCACTACTCCAAGCTCTGGGAATGCAGTTGGGCCCTCCTGTTAGTCCTTCAGTGCCATTCTGCTTGCCTTATCCCAAGACCACTTCCTCCTTTATCTGCACAAGAATCCTTCTGCCAGGTCCTCCTTCTGGGGCACTCAACTCAACACAATTGGCTGCTACTTACTCTCTTTGGCTGCACCTGCCATCCTACAGAGCCGACACTCCCAGGGGCTGTGTGGCCAAGGAGTCTGTGTGATTCGCACTGTGGTGGCCACACTGGTGTCCCCAGCAGCCCCCAATCAGGGCACCCTGCGGCCCAGCGATGGGTCAGATCCTACCAGCTTCCACCCCTAGAACACTGGGTCCTCCTTCTCTCCCCCTGCCCTCCACTCCACCAGAGAAACTTCCTTTTGAAGTCAGTGGGGAGGAGAGTCATAGGGCAGAACTCTAAAGTGGAGGGGCTCCAGCGAGTGGACACCCTGCCCCGGGATGCCCGAGTCAGTGTAGACGGTACACCTGGCAGCTGGTTAGCTTCCTCGGGAGCTCTTGGCTGCTGCTGTCCTTCCCAGCTGTGTGAGAACAGCCAAGGACACCACCACGGGGACCAGGCTGGGGGGGTATCTGACCCACTCCACCTCTGGGTGCCCTGCAGAGTTTCCATTTTGTCCTCTTCCTTGAGCCTAGACTGCGCCCTTGGTGGGTGATGTGGTTCCACACAGGGTTGAGCAATGGTAGTGGTGGTGGTGGGAGGGGTCCTCATCCACTCTCCGATCTTGGCCCTTATTTATGGGGGCGCTGAAACGCACCTCCACCCCCGTCCTAGCAATACCCCTGGAAGAAGCCCTGGGAGCAGGATGGCCGACATGGTCAGCGCTTTGCTTTGATGGAACGCAGATACCGATCTTTTTTATTCCAAAGGAAACCAAACCAATCTTAAAAAAAAAAAAAAGTTGGGCTGATTCCTCCACACCTACCATGAAATCCAGTATGCAGGCTGCACTTAACGACCTCAACCCAGCACCTCCCTGAGCGTGTTTCTTGGAAGAGCCTAGAAGATTCCTGGATTGAGACTTCATGGGTTCAGCATGAATTGGGCCTGTCTTTGGAAAAAACAAACACATTTCTAAGTTTTGTGGGAGTTTCCAGACCCGGCCTTGCTTGTCCTCTGACCCATCTGCATGGAGCCCAGCAGGGAGGCAGGCCACATTGGGGACGGAGTAATCTCTCCAGCCGTCTTGTCCCTTGGGCGGCCAGGGATGGGGCACCCACCAGGAAGGGTGCAGAGGCCACCCACAGTGGCCCCATTAATGTTCAGTCTATGCTAGCAGTAGAGCACCAAGGGGGGAGGCTTGTGTGACGCGGGTGTAAAAGGGACTAATTGAAATGTCTCACACACCACCATGTTCGGTGTGCTGGGACTTCTGGGTTCTGAGCCTTTCTGATGACTGCCACTAACCCATTGTGCGCACCTCTGGGACCACAGAGAGCCATGCGGTCCATTGGCCACGAAGGCTGCCTTGGGAAATGCTGCTTTTAGGAGTCCTGACTAAGAGAGTTTTAAGAGCACAGACGTTTTATTGAACCAAACTCAGTGGCGAACAGAAAATGATCTGTTAGATTGTCAATGGGGAAGGGTTTATTATGACTGCTGGTGGGATAAACAGCGGCCCGTTCCTGCCAGCATTTATGGAAATAATGTTTTTAAGTTTTAAATGTGAGCTATAAACCTAAGCTACTTCAGTTTTTTTTTTTTTTTTTAATTCAATACTGAAACTGTGGGGGGAAAGGTGGGCCAGTGCCAGAGAAAACATTCTCATTTAATAGTGTTTGCACATGGAACTGCAACCCAGTTTGCAGCGAGGCCGGAGAAGAACCCACAACTAATCCTTCATCACAGCTGTCTGCACGCTTGATCGGCTGCCATCGCCCGAACAGTGACTCCTTTTTTCTGGTGACTGCAGGCCTGAATGACCTAGTGTGGAGAGTTTAAACTATATACAAGGGGCGGAGGAAAGGGAAAGGGAACCTCAAATAGGTCTCAGCCAAAGGTTTTGTGCACAGGACTTCCTGTGCCTGCAGCCAGGGGCAGGGCTGTTCCCCAACCCATCCCGTCCCCGTAGCGTGTCCCCAACAGGGAAGACACTGGGACAGCCCAGCTTCGCCTTGACTGACCCACCCCTGTTCCTGAAGCCAGCGAGGAGTGCTGTGGTTTGTGCCCCACAGTAGGGCTCTTCTCCCCCTGGGGCAGGTGTGGGAGCAACCAGACCTCCCACAGCCCCTCTCGCTGCCCCCGGTACCTCCCCCCCACATATCTGGCTTTGGTGGCTTGTTGCTTGAACGAGCAGTTTGGCTCACTATTCTCTCGGAGCTGATAGGTAAGAGTATGGTGCCTCATTTTCTAAGAAAAGAGTAAGAAGGAATAAACATTTAGGCCAACAGATACAAGATGGATCTGTTGAAGGCCTAGTTGAAGGTGACAATCAGGAGGCCAGACTACAAACACTGTTGCCAGTGTCCCTCTCCCCTTCCCGCCCTTGGCTAGGGCCGCATGTACAATCCCATTCCTACAGGAAATGAGAACTTGGAAAGTTATTGAAAACAAATACTTTTTAAAAAAATAAAATCACATTAAATGTTTTATTTTGCTTATTATCCACTGTTTATCTATTGGGTGGGACCAAGCCACACCCCATCATTCGAGGATGCATGTTGTAATGAGCCCTGTTTTCTCAGGTCCCTGAGATTTCTGACAGTTGTCTGACAAAACAGAACACCTGCCCCAGGGACTCTGGGATCTTACTCAGTGGAGGGGATCCTTGCTAGTCTCGTGGGCTGAGGGCCTTTCCAGGAGACAGGGGCTCATTCCTCTTCCCAGCAAGGTTCTCTGTTAGAGATCGGGATCCCACTTGGAAAAACATTTGGGATCCAGGGGTTGGCTTTTGATCTGCAGAGCTGGTCCCTTGCTGCCAACACCAGAGAAGGATAAAGTATGTACTGTTTTAAACAAGGACCAAAACAACTTCAGGTACAACGGCTAACAGCTTCCACACTCTGTGCATGTCAGTAAAGGGCAAGAAAGGAGACAAAGAGCAGAGGAAGCAGGTGCAAAGAGTGAGGGACCAGCCAGGACAGCAGCGGAGGCCTGGCCTCGAGCATTCCAACAGCGGCCTGTCAAGACAGGTGAGGGACACGGGTGTTTTGTTCGAGCTGGCCCAAGAATCTGCGGGATACAGTGAAGAGGTATGGATTGAGGAGGAGCAGAGATGCAGGGAACCAGAGCTTGGGAAGCCTTGTGTGGGATGGAATGCTTTCAGGTGGGGTGTGAGGGAAACCAGTCTCAGCCTGATTCCACGGGAGCTCAGAAGCACAAGTGATACCAAGGGTTGTCCCCGCTGCTGGCAGGGAGGCAGGCCTCAGGTATGGCAGTTCCAGTCAGAGCTGCATGCTTCCCTGGGGATGCCAGGGTGGGTCTGACTCCTGGGGGAGGAACTCCCATCAGGCCGAAGGCCGTCCTCTGGAGGAGGCATTTTTTGAGCGCTTTAGCAGCCAACCTTCAGGGTGGCTGGAGGATGGGTTCACCTGCAGAGTGAAGGGGATCTGGGTGGGGCACCACAGTGTCCGTGACATTGACAAACTTGGGAGGCACGTATGGTCTCCTGGAGGTCGCAAAAGTAAAAGGGGACAAAAGGCAGACGGGACTGGTGCCAATGTTCTCTGAGCTGCGTCTCTCCATTGATCTCTCCAAATCTCTTTCTCAGCCTGCCCTGCACCCCAGCTGTCAACATTCCCTGGGCTCCTTCACCCTCTGACTTTGGGTTGCCACTGGGACGTGCTGGCGAGAGATTGCAGGGTAAACCCTCCTTCCTTCAGGCCACCGTTGGACGGTGGCTATGCTCTCCTTGAGGCCAGAGGTTTTGTCCCAAAGAGCTGTTCCTGTCATCGTGCTCTCCTCCAGTCCCCTAAGAGCCCTCCAGCATTCCAGGATGTTTCTGTTAACCCTGCCCATGCTTTTATGACTGGTCTCCATGTCTGACTCTCTTGAATCATCCCTCTGAGTGTCCAATCAGGAGAAGGAGGGTAAGCCGCTCTGGGCTCTCTGCCCTGCACACCCCTGCACACCCATCACCTATGCACCCTGTTAAATGCGGAGTCTGAGTCTGCAGGCCTGGGGTGGGGCCTGGGATTCTGCATTTCTAGCAAGCTCCCAGGAACCACACTGAGCGTCTGTCCAGGCCTTCCTGTTGTAGTGAAGGGCCCGGTCTCCCGGTTAAGTGAGGGAGAGGAAGTCGGGGCAGGAGGAGGGGCAGGAGCTGTGTGGAGATCCTTGAAAGCCTGCTGCAAGAGGGTGGAGACTCCGAGAGGGTGGTCTTAGCGCAAATACGGAGACACGGTTTTCGAGATTACTAGAGAACGTTTTTCTTTTTAAACCATCATGATGTAACCCAGATATAAAATACATTTAGCAACTGTTTGTGGGAAATAATTATTTATTTTAAAGATCTCAGAAGCTTTGTGTTAATGGACCATCCAAGCCTCAATTTTCATAAACATTCAATGGTTACCAGTCTCAAGACAGGCATGCTGACATGTAACTTACATTTACTAATGTTTCCATCATCCCTTTCCATATGCATTTTTAGATCCTAGAATATTAATTTAGATGACAGAGAATCCATAAAAACTTAGAAACTGATGTGTTGGGTTTGTTTTCATGTAGTTCTTGTCTACAGAATAATATACTTCCATGTATTAATGTGTCTGTAATAAATTTATTAATACATTGGTATTACCATTACCTATTTTTGTGTTGGTATTAAGTCAGTGTTCTTGGGTGATTACATAATAATAGTCGAATAACACAATCCCAATGCTGAGATGGAGGTTATTTTATCTAGTTAAAAATAGAAAAGTTATCATAGATTAGAAAAGAATCTAATTTATAAATATCTACAGTCTCTGGCATCTATTCTGCCGTGTTTTGCTTTGGCTGCATGCAGAAAGTGTTTCGGTCCTGTTCTAGACTTCACCTGACACAGAGGTAGTCCGTCCCGTAGTTTCAGGCCTTCCTTCCAACCAGTAGTGGGGACTAGGGTCTTTGAGTTTGCAGCACTGCCTTTATAGCTACTTAGCCTATCATTTTTCCAAAGCTTGCACCGGAAAGAGGTGGCAGGGTGGAAAACATGTTACGCAAATTTCTTTTCCCTTAGGTCAAACACCACCACCAACTTTTCAATTGTAAAGATCAGGATTTCTCTCATGCCCCATACAACCACATAGACACTTAGTGTCTCCAAATCAAGGCACAGGCTTCATCACTTTTCACCACTGAAGACTCTTTCTAAGAAACTGACTCATGTTGTAAAAAGATAATGTGTTCCGTTTCTGTGCCAATGCACCTGAGCCCATTGGAGACAGCAGCGTCCAAGACTGCCACAGGTGCACGCAGCGATGCCTGGCTTCCGGGTGAGGCCAGCCATGGGTGTTACTCATCGTCTGTGCCTCTAGAGCCTCCACTGGCTCAAAGCTCACAACTGATACAGCAAAGCAACGGTTCCCAAACTTGAGTGTGCTTTAGGATCACCTGGAGGGCTCTGCACAGCCCCGCCCCGCCCCCACGGCTTCTGCTGGGGGGCTTCTGCTGGGGACTGAATTGATACCGCAGGTCTGAGGCTTGTGCTCTGAGAACCCCTGTCATAAACGTGCTGAGTCATCCCAAGATGATGTGGATATTATGACGTGGGTTGCTTAACAGCCAGGAGTCCATCCTGGGCTCATGATGATCCCATGGTGCTCCAGATTGCCACAACAGAGCGCAGGAGAGTCTGCACAGAGCATTTCCTGTTCCTTTTTAATTCCTCTGCTTTCCCATCAGATAGGTACCTACTTGATATCGCAGTCCTCGGCCCTCTTAAAACAGTATTTTCCTCCCTCTTACTTGGGTTCAGAGAAATGGTTAATCCTGAGAGAGGAAGCCAAGAACTGAGTTTTGTTAGTTTAACAAAAAATTCTGAATTCTTAGGCACAGTCTGGTCAGACAGCTAGACCACTGCTTCCAAGAAGAAATGGCGCTTACTGGTACGAAACTAACCATTTATTAATTTTTTTCTCTTATTTTAAAAAAGATTTATTTATTCATTTGGGAGAGAGAAAAAGAGAGCATGTGCTTATTTACTCATGTGAGAGGGAGAGAGAGAAAATGCTCAGGCAGACCCCATGCTGAGCACAGAACCTGACACGGGGTTTGATCCCAGGACCCAGGGATCATGACCTAAGCTGAAATCAAGAGCTGGTGCCTAACCAATGAAGACACTCAGGGCCCCCCAAAACTAATCACATGCTTTAAAAAAAATGGTCTGTCCTATAAAATGGAGGGAACAAAGTGGATGTGTCTTGCTATTCCCTTCACTTCCCTCTCCCCGCAACAAAGCATCAGTCCTAAATTCTCTCAGATTTCTTTTTCCTCCCTCCAATTTCAACAATTAAAAAGAAACCAAAGCTTCTAGACTCTGTCCTGGTTCTTGGCTCATTTGCCCTCACAAAATCACAACATTAAAAGGCAATAACCCATTATTTTTTCTATGCCCCACGCCCAACGATTAAATATCTCTATCCTAAATAACACTGCTCTCAAGTGCTCAGTTTATCACACTTTTTCTAAAAATTTTGGTCATGGAGTGGTTCATCTTTTTTTCTTAAAACAAGGGAAAGAAGATAAGAGCATGATGAAGTGAGAGGTGAGTTTTGAGCTCACACTGGAATTGGGGCCTGAGCACAGGTCTGGGATCAGCGCAGTACATTCCAGGAAATTTGGTTAAGTAGATATTGATGCGTGTGATGATGCCATCAAAGCCTACTTGTCCTACCAGGTGCCTCCAGAGACGCTTCTTGGCCTTCAGAACAAGGACCTGAGAAAAAAAGAGACGAGTCCTAACCCACCTGTTTCATGCTCTAGTGAAGAATCAGTCTTTATCAGTGAGACGTGGCACAGTTTCCTTTCCTCCTAAGTGGCTTGGGAGAGCCTGCTCTGAAGGTGGCTAGACCTTCTCCATCTCAATCTGCTGGTGGTAGTGCCGAGCTTGCCGCTGGCCAACGTTCAGCTTGTACACAGAGCTCTTGTGTTGGCACTTACGGTGGCCCCACACAGCCCCCACCCCTGCCAGGAGCAGAAGCAGACATAGGATGGTGACAATGGTGGCAATGACAGGGCCCCTGCTGAGGCTGGGACACCCATCCCCTACACACGATTCCACAGTTGGAAGAAGCTCCTCGCTTGCACCTGGGCCAGGGCTTTCCTGTCCCAAGAAGTCCTCAGACAGCAGGTATGGGAAACCATCCTGGACCTCAGGAGCAATGGTTTCCCCTGGAGTCTGGCTGGCTGCCATGATAGTTGAGGGACTGTGATTTGGCATCTGTTGGACAGCAGTTGTCACTGTCCCCAGGGTAGAGCTGGGGAGTTCATAGGGTAGTGTGGCCATGGGAGACGTCTCTGCGGCAAAGCTCCAAGGAACAGTTGACTGGTACCTGATCAAGTCACCATCTCCCGTGCTGGGACCCTCAGTTTCAGACACATTTCCGGGTCTGAGAGCCAAAGCTTCTACATCTAGTGTTTGAGATGGAAAAACTGAACTACGGGTCACGTCCTCACTTGGTGTGAAGGAGGTACTCCTGGGGTTCTTAACTTCGACAGGAATGGGCTGATTAGCAGTAACTGGAACTCTTTCTTCCAGCCCTACTGACGCATCTCCCTTGTCACCATCTTCCTCCTCTTCCTCCTCTTCTGCCTCTATCTTCCTCCAAGCCCCATCCGTCACAGGGTAACCATCTAACCAGGACTCATCACTGCTGCTCACCATTGGGTCCCCGGTCTTGCTGTCAGTCCTGCCCAGAAATGGCCCCGAGGGACCATGAGTGCTGCTATAGATCACCTTGGCTTCAGGTTCACCCGGAGCTGCTGTTAGGCTACTACGGTTGTCTCTAGCCAGAAACTGCTTTTTGGAGCCATCATTCATCTCCTTCTGCAGCCCAGGCTTGTGGAAATTCTCAGCAGGAAACCAGAACAAGTACTTCTGGTTTAGCTGGGTTCCTGGAGAGTCTGTGGGGACACTGCTTCCCACGATGGACAAGCCTGTAGTTGGCACAGAGGCTGTATCCTGGGCTATGTTTTCTCTCCCCACAGAAATGGAGACCAGAGGGTCCTGTTTTGAAACCTCCTCAGGGGCCTCTCCTGGACCTCTGTCTTCTTCTGCCTCTGTCCGGGAGTCCTCCATGAGCTCTCTAAAGGACATGGATCTGTCATCTGGGAAATTATCCTCATAGTCAATATGTGCCTCAGCCACATCTGGAAGGGGAGAAGGAAAAACTTCATTAGGTCCAAGGTTACAGAGCCAGGAGAGTAGAACACAAGAAAAGGAAATATAAAGGATAAGGACTAGAACAGATGAAATAAAGCTGTCATTCACAGATGCTATGATTGTGTATCACAAACAAACCCAAAGACTCTAACTATAAACTGTTGCAATTGATATATGGGTTTATCAAGGACATGGGGTTTATTGTCAATGTAAAATACCAACTGTATTTCTGTATACCAGCAATATACAGCAACAAATATTTTAAAAAACACCATTTGCCATAGCATTAGAAAAAACAAACACATAGGAATAAAGCTAACAAAAGATGCGCAAGATCTGAACGCAGAGTGGTATGGAATATGGCCAAGCAAAATTAAAGACCTCATTAAATGAAGGGATATAAAATTGTTAAGCTGTCAACTCCATCCAAATTTATCTCTCCAGACTTAATACAACCATAATAAAAATCTCAGGCATTGACAAGCTGATGCTAAAACTTACGATAATGCAAAGAACCAAGAAGATCTCTTGAAATCTACAAAATTTCAAGATTTACTCTAAAACTGGAATACTTTTTAAGACCATGATATTGGGGTGCTTGGGTGGCTCAGTTGGTTAAGCAAGGTCATGCTCAGGTCATGATCTCACAGTCCCGGAATCCAGTCCCGCATTGGGCTCCCAGCTCCCCGGGGAGTCTGCTTCTCCCTCTGACCTTCTCCCCTCTCATGCTTTCTCTCACTGGCTCTCTCTCAAATAAATAAATAAAAATCTTAAATAAATAAATAAATAAGACCATAGTATTGGCCCAAGGATAGATAATTGGATTATGTTAACTTTAGGAACTTGTGAACTCATGAAAAGAGTTCAAATGCAAACCACAAACTTGAAGATATTTGTGACACATACAATCTTCAAGGGATTCCTATCCAGAATTCATAAAGAACTCCTCCTACAAGTCAATACTAAGTAGGCAGATAAGCCATATCTGGCAAGATACTTGAATTGACGCATAACAAAAAAGACACCTAAGTAGTCATTAAACATGTGTACAGATGCCCAACCTTATTAGTAATAGAGATATGTTAACTACAGCCATAAAAGTATGCCATTCCATAGCACCACAACGGCTAAAAGTAAGTAGACTGACAATATCTGGTGTTAACTGATGATATCTAGTGTTTGGGCATCAAAGGACATGCACATGAATGTTCCTAACAACCCAAACCTGGAAACGATTCAGATGTCTATAAACTGCAAAACTGATATAAATCATAGCATATTTGTACAAGGAAAACCTGTACATCAATGAAAATGAACCGACCATTACTTCTGACAAGGACATAGATGAATCTCACAGTCAAAATGTGGAGGAAGAGAAGCCAGGCACAAAAGAACACACTTTGGTGATTCTATTTACATAAACTGCAAAATAGTGCAAAAATAGTCAAAGCTAATCTATGACGTTAAAAGTCAGGTTAGTGGATGGAGAGAAGGGGTAAAGACTAAGTCTGGGGACACGCAGGGCTTTGGGGATCCTGGCAACATTCTACTTGATCTGTGTAGTGTTTCTTTTCTGATAATTAATTCATCTGTTCCCTTATGATTTTGTTTGTATGTTAGGTAAAAACATATCTTTTAAAACACGATTTGCTCTTTGTAAGACTTCATGAGATTACGCTGTGAAATATTTTAAATCCAGCCAAGTAAGAATGAACAAAAGACCCCATAATAGGGGACCAGAATGTTAGGACAGCAGGTCAGGAAGGCTCAAGGAGCTGTGTCCTCGGAAGAGAGCAGCCCACTGGACTTTCCCTATTCTCAGTGATCTTTGAAAGTCAAGTCCTACTGGAAGTCATAGTTATTAAAACAGAAAGGCTCCATATGACATTGCAGTATAGTAAGAAGTATATGTTTAGTCTTTGTCCCTGGTTCCTGGTAGGTTCCTGGCAGCTCCTAAAACCCTTGGAATTTCCTAAGCAACAGGGGTGAGATCACATCTTTTTTTATTCATAAGAAGCTCCTTTCAGCCTTACCTGATTTTATGCTAATGAAGTCACCCCTAGATGACATCTGGATGGTGGCTGGTTGCCAGAGGAACCAACCAATCAGAGGGTGGGAAATTGAGGCCCCAGCCTCTGACCTCTGAGGAGGGGGAAGTGGGCTACAGGTGGAGTCCATCATCAATGGCCACTATTGAATCAATTGTGCCTAAATAATGAAACCTCCATAAAACCCCTAAACTACTGGGTGCAAAGAGCTTCTAGGCTGGTGAATGTATCCACGTCCTGGAAGGGTAGCTCACCGCAATTTCATGGGGACAGAAGCTCCTGTACTCGGGATCCTTCCAGATCCCAGATCTCTACCTCCGGTTATTCATCTGTATTCTTTATAATATCCTCTATAATAATTGGTAAATGTGAGTAAAGGGCTTTCCTAAGTTCTGTGAGCCTTTCTAGCAAAGCACTACACCTTACAGGATGGGCATGAGAATTCCCAATTTATAACTTTTTGGTCAGAAATACAGGAGGCTCAGGATGGAGGATTGGTGTCTGGAGTGGGATCAGTCTTGTGGGACGGAGCCCCTAACCTGTGGGGCTCACTAACTCTGAGCAGTTAATGTTAGCATTGAATTACATTGTAGGACACCCAGCTGGTGTCCAGAGACTTGGAGAATTGGTTGTTGGTGTGAGAAGTGTTCTATGGGAAGAAATAGATCTTAGTAGTCTTTCTCCACTTCACTCTGCAACTTGGAAAGCACAAATGCAAAGAGCTTCAAAACCAAAGTCTAGATAAAGTGCTGAGGTGTCATGTGGTACATTCCTGGGCTCTGAAACTGGATTAGTGGGCATTTGGCTTATTTCTTACAAGACTCCGTATTTTGCTTCCTGAATGCGAGTTATAAATAAATTTAAAAGTCCTTTCTGGGGGCGCCTGGGTGGCTCAGTGGGTTAAAGCCTCTGCCTTCGGCTCAAGTCATGATCCCAGGGCCCTGGGATCGAGTCCCGCATCGGGCTCTCTGCTCAGCAGGGAGCCTGCTTCTCCGTCTCTCTCTGCCTGCCTCTCTGCCTACTTGTGATCTCTGTCTGTCCAATAAATAAATAAAATCTTAAAAAAAAAAACAGTCCTTTCTGATCTCCTAATATTTAAGCCCATGCACTTTGTGTCTTCAGTCAAAAATGCAAAAACAGCGGATAGCAAACAAACATCTCTGATAAATGTAAAATTCATGTCATGTTTTATGCTTAGAAAAAGATAGCCGAGGGGCTCCTGGCTGGCTCAGTTGTTAGGCCACACAACCCTTGCTTCAGGGTTGTGAGTTTGAGCCCGAGTTTGGGTGTAGAGATTACTCGAAAATAAAATCAGGAAGGAAAGAAGGAAGGAAGGGAGGAAGGAAGGAATGGCCTAGTAATTACTTCAGGGGACCCTTCCAGCCCATGATGTCCTGTTCACAGTCCCCAGACAAAAGCCACACTGATGGCGGAGCCATGCTTAGGAGCATCACAGAATTCCAGCACAGACCCCCAGGGTTTGGGTGGGTGGCCCCCTACACACTCATTGCTATGTCATGCCTCATTCTCCATGGCACTGCTGTTCTAAGTACTGCCGTCACCTATTCTAACATTCAGCAAACCTCCCCAAGTGCCCACTCTCTGTCTGACACTGCGAGGGCTCTGGGTCACTGATAAACAGGACAAGCAGTCCCAGCCCTTGTGGAGCATACAGACGGAATTCCATGGTCCTGAGACCTACCAGCTTGAGTCACAATGTGTTTGTATGCACAAATTCTCACCCGGATATCCTGCTGAATAAAGACTAGTTTTGGCACTTAAGGACCGTCTTTTCTTAAAAACACAACAAAATGAAATAAAGGCCACTACAACACAACTTTTCTCTAAAATAAGCATCAAGTCATACTGAATCCAGCTGGTCATTTAAGAAGGCCATGACTTACTCTCTGACCTTAATGTGGTAATACTGTTCGCTTGAATATGTGTGTGCTGATGGACTGCGGTAGAGTGATCACAAGAATGGCCACAATTCTCCACTCTTTCCTGCATCGAGTCCTTTTGCAATGTGACTGTGCAACTCTTCCCTTCAAGAAGTGGTGTCTCTTTTTCCTGCTCTCAAATTGGGACTGGCTTGTCATTTGCTTTGACCCACAGAATAAAGTCAAAGTCTCATATGCTCACTCTTTCTTTCTCTGCATCCTGCCAGCTGCCATGTGAGCGAGCCTAGGACAGCCTACTGAGGATATGAGGCCATGTGGAGGAGAGGCAAACTGTTCCAACTGAAGACATCATAAACCAATCAGCTCCATCAACCTGGGGGCGGACCACATGCACGTGAGTGAGCCTGGTCAAAGGCAGAAGAAGAAGAACGAGCCAGGTAAGCCCAGCCCAGACAGCTTACACAGAAAATTGTACCCAAATAAATGAGTGTTGTTTATGCCACTACATTTTGGGGGGTGGTTTATTATGCAGAGAAAACTGACATGCTAGCCTTGAGCTGGCTTGAGGACAGGGACCAAGTCACTGTATCCCTAGAGCAGAACTGTATCCTCAGCCCAGCCCATAATAGGTGTTCTTATAGGTATTCTCTCATATATATATATATATGTATTCTCTCATATATATATATACATATATAGGTATTCACTCATTATAATGAGTGAAAGATTAACTGGCACTGGGAGAAACAGGAAGAAACACCTTCTCAGCTCCCAAGACTCTCCTGATCCCTACCTCAAAATGGCTCAGAGCTAAGATCTAGTGCCAGGAACACAGGGCTCAGAACACAAGAGGACTTTGGGCTCATTTCCAGTCTCTGAGGAGTTAATGACATGTAACACAGACTCTTAGAACACCCCTGAAAGATGCCACCCTTGAAGTGCTACTTGAATACAGACATACACATGGGAGAGCAACACACACATATACTCACCTTTCACACGCAGGTGAGCATGACTCAGTGCACAGCCTGGCCCATG